AGGGAAAGGGCAGCCTCCAGCGCGGCCCCCGGCACTCCTGCTGGTCTGCCTGTGAGCCACTGAGCTTGAGCGGCTCCAACGGCAGCCGGGGCTGCTGGCACGGACGGGGCTGCCACCGCCCCGCGCCACGCAGATGCAGAGGCTCAGGCACACACACCTTCCTTACACTCTCCTTATGCCACAGCCTCCCAACAAATTCCGCTCTGCCTTACATAAAAACAGCCTTAGAAAATATCTATTAGCGCAGACATGGGTCAGCCTGACAGAGACTTGGCACTTCATTCCAGGCCTTGACCTCGGCCTCTGTCACTGCGGCTCAGCAATGGGGGGGAGGACTTTGCTGTCCGGCTTTCCAGAAGAGCTGCAGATACCCAGCATGCTTGTCCTTTGACAATTTTTCATTAAACTGTGGGTACTTTACAGCATGCTTTGTGCCTTAAATACCTCTTATTAGCATTTGAGTGTCTTCCCTCCTTAGAAAGCTTGCAAGGCTCCCATTAAGGGTAATGAGAGTCACACTCCTGGGAGGCAAGGAGAATATATACCACAACATCTCCTGGTTATGGTCTACTCTAACCAGTATGTCAGAGCATCATCTGCTAGGGATTTATTACAGAGGCATTTTACAACAGGCGCTATTATTAGTTATTAAGGAACGGAGCAGCTTCTACTGTTCTTTCATTAAATATTAATAGAGCATTTATAAACCGATCCTTAATTCAAAGTGTTACCTTTAATCAAAGCCCTGGTGATAACAACGCAGCCTTTGGGAAGGCCCCTCTGGTAGTACTTAAACCTTTCACACTGGGGTTTTACGCCTGCGGGCGCACTCCTGCTCCGGGCACAGGGGAGCTCTGGCCAGCATAGGCACAGCCGGGGAGCTCTGGGCTGGCAGCTGCAGCTCCTGCTCCACGGTGCCGCCCGCTCCGGCCCTGCACGGAGCCAGGCAGCAGCCCGCAGGGCTCTCAAGCTTCCCCTCCAACCCTCAGGAACGCCTGCAGCACCGGCACCCCAGCACAGAGGCGCAGGCCCGTGGGCGCAGAGCCGTGCACCGAACCGACGCGGGACGGGTGGCCACGGTCTGCCCTCCCGACACCCCAGCCCAGCTGGGCGCTGCTTACCTGTTTTGCTGTCCACAGTAAAGTGCTGCTCGCCCTCCAGCACACTGTAGACTACCCGGGCACTGCTCCCATACGTGGGGTCATCGGCATCGGATGCCATTACCTGCATCACAGAGGTGCCTGCAGCAGGGACAAGGAGTAGAATAGAGTCAGGGGGGAGCTGAGAAGAGCAACGCAAGCCTCGGGGCCAAAGGCTGGCACAACTGGAGAGCAGGGGCCAACACCGATCGCTCACACATGCTGATGGAAACAAGAACAGTTGGGTGCAGATGCAGCGTTGCCTCCCCATGAAAGCCCCAGAGCCAGGACTCCAGACACTGCTGCGAACGCCCCTTTTGTCCCGCAGAGTGGCAGGGGGTACCGGACCATGGGCGCCCCTGGGGCTGCTGCCGAGGCAGGACCTGCTCCCCAGGAGGTCACTGGAGCTGTTCCCCCAGCAGAATTTTGCTGGACTATCCGGGAAGGAGCTGGGGACGAGATGTTATCACCACAGCTGCCCCTTTTCTATCAGCACCGAGCAACACGGTCACCTCCCGCCTGTAGAGGGACCTCCCAGCCAGGGCCTGACCCACACCACAGCACCATTCGTCTGCCGCAGGCACAACAGCCGTGGGAGAGGAAAGGCTTTTGCTTGCCCAGAGCCAGACACAGCACCATGTCCTCATGCTCTACACGTAGCAGGGCAGGAGGACTATAAATTGGATAAAAGTCCATCAAACGTCTGCAATTAAGTTATTGATTTTCAACACTGCCTCATTAAACTGGGTGCTTCACTCCAACTGTCCCTGCAATGGCTTTAATTTGACATCATGTTCAATTTGACAAAAGCAGGACCTAGGACATGAGAATGGGGCCAGCAGCAAAGGGGCTGAGGTCTAGAGACATCAGAAGGGAGGAGGGAGGGGAAGCCTAATCCCACCTACAGATACCTCTGAGAAAGGACATGGCGTGACCGAAGACCTGTGAGGACAGGCTACCCAGTTCCACCTCCAGCACCAGCCTCAGAGCATCCCTGCCCTGCAGTCCGAGCACTGGCACCAGTCACCTCTCAGGTGAGATGAGGTGCAGGACAAGGCAAAGGCGCTGAGCTGCTCATAGAAGAGACCAAACCAATGGGGATGTTTCCTGCTGCAAGGTACTGGCCAGGGCCAAGAGCTGGCAGCGAGGCCGGTAATTTATAAGGGACAAGATACCCCAGCAGTGATGGCAGTTAAAGCCAAGGCAGGAGTTGCTTCAGAGGTGACTCCAGGGCACGAGACCAGCCCAAAGAGAAGGGGTCAGCAGAGACCATATGCCCCAGCTCACCCTGCTGCATCCAGCAGCTCTGCTCCGCCTCCCACACCCCTTAGGGCTGCCGGGCCACTAGCCAAGGACCAGGGGTACCGCGTTTTGGTCCAGAAAGTCTTCTGTCCTGCAGTGCATCCATCGTATGCTGTAAAGGCAATCTGACAGACTGGTCTTGGCTAGAACCACGTCCCAAATAACCCACAGCCAAGCTGGCTGTCAGCATCTGAGTCCAGGCTCATGACACTCCCAAACACCAGAGAACACAGGCAGAAGCAGCCTCTGTTCCCACGTCACAGCGGGCAGAAATGGAGCTGGAACCATCCAGAGGGAGGATGAGGAGCTCCAGTCCCTGGCACCTTCCTCTGCCCCTGCCAGGAGACCACAAGCCCATGGCTTGCAGGCAAGCCAGGTAGCCAGGGCGCGTCTACCCCAACCCAGCCTGGGCTCTAGCAGGGGTAAGACAGTGGAGATAGAAATGTTGCTGCACGCAGCTGGGACGCACATGCTCCCCCCAGTCCAGTTCGCTTCTGATCTCCTGGGAAGGGCGTTCACGGAAGAAAACGAGCAGTTACCATGGTTGCTTTCCATTCTCCCTGGCCACCTTCTCAGAGCTGCAGCTCTGCTGATAACAGGAGAATCCCCCTCATCGGTCTTCAGCAACAAGCTCGTTTGAGTCGACTTATTTATGCTTTGCTGTCTCCAGTGAAGTTACGGTGTGTCCCTGCCAGGCACGTCCCAGTTACGCCACACCAACACGAGCTCCCTGCCTTGCAAACAACTGCTTAAGAAATACGATTGCTGTGTTTCCTTGAAAGGGTCTGTCTGCCTCCTCCTCCTCCTCCTCCCCCTGCCTGCCATCACACACCCTCTCACCAGGTAGGAGCCAAGGCAGATCACCCCCGCACCGGCACCGCACATCCCCTCGGGCACCCTGGCACGCTCCCCCGGGAAGCTTCTGAGCAGAAAACAGAGGAGAAAGGGATCAGAGAAGGGAAAGTAGGTGGCACCAGGGCCTGCAAGAAGCCCTCTCTCCCCGCTCTGCAGAGAAGCCCTGCTAGGGCTGCTGGAGCTGCCAGAGTCCGAGGATCAGAAAAAGCAGGTCCTGGCCCAGCAACAGGCAGGGCTCCCCCTGTGCCCAGCCCGACAGCACCCAGCTGAGAGCCCATGCCCAGCGCCCACAGCAGCACCCCCTCCTGCGCCCATCATTGCCACAGGCAGAACCTGCTGACCTTGCACAAGCACCCCACACCCTGAGAACCACGTGCTCCTGCCTAGGCACCTCAGAGGCAAAGGGTTGGGAGTTCTGCAACTCGCTCACATGTACACGAGCCCATCGGAGTTACGTGCCCGTGCTTGCCCTGTACCCAGCAGCACCTGCATCAGGATGCGTGCATGCAGACAGACCGTGTGCCCCAAGGACTACGCCAGAACCCCCTTACCCCTGCCATCCCAGTGCTGCCACCCCACGGGTGCCAGCCCAGCATCCCCTCTTAACCCCCACTTGTCCCTTTTCCACCCTTCCCTCAGTCTGAAGAGCGAAGGTTTTGGATTCCAGTTTCACTTGACCCCCTCCTTCCTCTGGAGCCAAGCCTCGGAACACGGGCTCCCACCTCCTCCCTGGTATTAGTCCCTGCTCTCCAGGCACAGTGCTGCCCACAGCAAGCACAGCATGCTCGACTTTCATTTAGTTTTCTGGCATGTGCCTTAGCCATAACAGATACCATAGATACCATCTAAATATCCACCATGTACTGTATAACCCACCTCCCACAACCAGGAAGGCTGAACTCCTATCCAGAGAGATAATTAGACATGTAAAAGGAAGTAAAGCCTCGGGTTCCTCCCCAGGCCAGCTCACCCCACAGAACCAGAGGAAACCAACAATTTTACATAAAAATTAACAAGCCAGAGGGAAGAGGGGAGAAGGTCCTCGCTTCCAGAGCAATCCTCCCCCACAGCCCACGCTGGGGCCGACCCAGTGCCCGCGGGGACTCGGCCCCTGGCTGCCAGCCATCCTCCAGCTCCACCGGCCCTGCCCGGGCTGTCCCCACTCCACACCCTGAGCCGTCCTGGAGTCCTGCCATGGATGTCAGCCAGCCTTTGCCTCCACAGGCCAGGGAGGTTAATCCCACCCCTGCTGCGCCCCGCAGTGAGCTGGGACCAGCAGCACGGCGGAGAGGGGCTGCCAGCACCCAGTACTGAAAGGTGCCAGGAGATGCCTCCGGGAGCTGGTGGGATCAAGGAGCTGTTTCTCTGCAAGACCCTTTCCGGCTGCGGCTGTGAGCAGAGAGGTCAGCCCCGCTCGGCTGTCCCCGCCGCAGCACGCTGCCACGCAGCGCGGTCCTCAAGGCAGCACCTGCCTTGGCTTGAAGGGACGGGGCTCTGCAGAGGATCTTTGAAATACTGATGCAGACCTGTCCTAGCATCCACCCTAGCCCTTCCCCGCAGGGCTCAGAGCCCCTGGGGGCAGCTTCAGCAATCCGGAGAGGTGCCACCCACCGCACACAGCAGATGAATGGCTCCGGGCCACTTGCTATGCCACTCACTCCAGACACATTCAGCTAAAAGAAATGTCGACAGGTGAACTCCAAACACATCCAAGAGTGAAGAGGCCCTGCACTGAATCCACAAGCAAGCCAACAGGACCTATCACTTCCCCAGGGACAGAAGTGCAGCCAGGCTCCGTGCCTGCAGAGAGGTAAACGGGTAAACAGCAGGAAAAGCCAACACTTGCTAAATTGGACCGCCCCTCCTCGTGGCAGCCTTCGCCCCTGCCCTGGTGCAGGTGGGAGCCTGCAGCCGCTCTGCAGACCCTACCCATGCTCCGAGCACCTTCCCGTGCTAGCTCCAGGGCAGCACGTGGCCATTTCAGCCCTGCAGGACACAGAGGGCCCCAGAGGAGAGCTTGGTCATGCAAAGCTACATGCCCTGGACTGATGCCAGCCTGCAGCACTCATCTCGGGGACCGGGTTGCTGTGGGGGCAGAGGGCAGCTGGGATTTTATACACAACGCCAGTCCTGCCTGACCCAAGCAGTGGCTGATACGGCCCAGACACAAGCAGGCAGGACATCAGGGAAGAAAATAAACCAGAGGAGCTTAAGAATTACTGGAGCAGAATTGAGTTCCTTGCAATCTCAGGAACATTCTGACTTGGTAGAAAGCCAAATCCGACCCAGAGGAGATTCGCTGCAGAGCCCTCACACCCCACGCAACAAGCCCAAGGGAGCTAACCCAGCCATGGTGGAATCGCTCAGATATACAACTACAGAAACATCCTTTGGGGTGCCTGGCCAGAGAAACCCACTGCACAAGGCGCCCCCAACCTCCAGCACCAAGCAGGTCAACGCGGCGTCTCAGGGAGAAAACCAAAGCATCAGCGCGAGGGGGCACAGGTTCTCTGAGGGGCTTAGCTCGGGCGGGCTGGATGTAGAGAGGGTGCAGCGGGTGCTCAGAGCCCTTGCACCACGACCAAGAACGCAGGGCTGAAGGGGAGAAGGGTGTTCTCACTGAGGACCGGCAGACAGGGCGAGCCCCAGCTCGCAGCTCCTTGCTGCCCCAGCAGCTTCCAGATGGACAGGAGCATTCTGAGCACTTTCTATCAAGAGGGGAAAAAAATAGAGCTGCCTGCCTGCAAGTCCTCTGGCTGTGTGTTAAACAAAGTATTTTCCTCTGCTTCCAGTGTGGAGATTAAACAATTTCTCTTCACAATAATCACTTGTGCATTCAGCCAGCTTTGTGCTAGAGCCAGGGCTTGACCCCAGGTTTCTGCCTGTACAGCCAAATCATCTCTAATCTGGACTTGGTGCTACACAGAGAAATAAGGGGAGCAAAACGCAGCGAGGGAGGAGTGATGTTGCGATGAAAGGATGCCCATTTCCCAGCGTGTCCCTCACTCCAGGCTTGGCGGGCTCCCCAAACAGCCCAGAAGCGAGCTCTGCACAGCAACACCCACTCATTCAACCAGCAGAGCTGTCTTGCAGGAGGCAGAGTGTGCTGGATTTGGGCTCATGCCTGCGTGCAGCAGACAGCTGTTAGAGCAGAGCTCAGGGAGGGAGCCCAAAACACAGCTAATTTTAGCATCTCCTGTTGCAAGGTGAGGCTCCTGCAGCTCCCAGGCAGCTGGCTGGGTCCCATCCTACCTTCTTCTGCAGCTCCAGGTCTCTTCCTTTGGCACTAGACGCTGCTCAGCTCGGGTGCTTTGGTGGGATCTGCACTGGGGTACCCACGCAAAGGCTGAGCCCCAGGTGCCAGCACAGAGCAGTCTGCAAGCTCTTAGCCCACAGTTTCTTCCTGAGGCTCCGGACAGCAGTGGGGCTGCAACAGGGTTTGCAGCTCAGGCCCCATCCCGCAGATGGGCTGCTCCTTGGCTCGCCCGCATGCATGCACAGCAGCCGGCTGTCCTGGCCGGGCAGGGAGAGTCGTAGAATCATAGAATCACTTTGGTTAGAAAAGACCTTTGAGATCATCGAGTCCAACCTTTAACCTAACCCTGCCATCCCACCACTAAACCATGTCCCTAAGCACCTCATCTGTCCTTCTTTTAAATACCTCCAGGGATGAGGACTCTACCACCTCCCTGGGCAGCCCATTCCAGAGCCTGACAACCCTTTTGGTGAAGAATTTTTTCCTAATGTCTAACCTAAACCTGCCCTGGCGCAGCTTCAAACCATTCCCCCTCATCCTATCATCTGTTACCAGGGAGAAGAGACTGACCCCCACCTCACTCCAGCCTCCTCTCAGGTAGTTGTAGGGGTCGATCAGGTCTCCCCTCAGCCTCCTCTTCTCCAGACTAAATAACCCCAGTCCCCTCAGCCGTTCCTTGTATGACTTGTGTTCCAGACCCCTCACCAGCTTGGTGGTGTCAGTGACAACTCCCCCAGGCAGCAGCACCAGCCCCTGCCTTCCCCAGGGGGACCCAGTGCACGGCCTCCAGCAGCCGCCCCAGCCCTGCTCCCCGGGGGGCTGAGCCGGGAGAGCCCTCTGCCCCGCGCAGCTCTGGCTGCCTTCCCTGCCAGGTCAAACCTGCCCCTGTGCCCTGACAGTGGCATCTGATGGCTCCGTGCCCTGCTGCCGGCAAAACGGTCCTCAGCAGCTGCGCTGTTCCTCCCGATGCCCCAGAGACCCAGACCAGTCCGGGTCTCTAAAGATAAGTCATTTGGAGCCTGCTCTTACAGCTGGTCCTGCCGCACCACGGGGGTCCAGGTAAAACTACAGGGTCACCTTCCAGTTTGGATGTGCCTCCTCCAAGTGCAGGAGGTCAGCACCAGCCTCAGGTCTGTGCTCTGACTTCTCCTGGGGCACAGCACATGCTCAGCCCCGTGGGCTGGGGTAGCTCTAAGCACCACCTCTGCCCCTCACAAATCTCAGACTCTGGCCTTACCTTCCTGACCATCCTGCATCTGCCATTTTTGATCCATCAGATGGCAATAGCAACCCCTTTTCCTTTCCCTTTGCAGAGGTTCACAGTGAGTCTGGATGAGTCCATGGAAGACAGGCACTGAAGCTGACTAAATCCACAGAAACCGCCCACATCCGAAGAAATCCCAAAGCTGAAACTGGTTGCTGGCTAGGAGGATATTGACAAGAGCATCACACGTGCTGAGAGTGCTGCTGCTCCTCCTCCTCCATAAGCACCCACTGTGGCCACTGTCAAGGCCAGCTCCTGGAACAAAGAGGCTCTTAGTCCACCCTCAGCCCTACAGTCTCGAGCAGCACGCGCGCCGCCACTATCAAAACGCACTGCCCTGGCCCCGGCGCAGAGCAAGGGGCGGGCGTGCTGCAAAGCGCTCCCAGCTACTCGGTGAGAGTTTGTGCAGGTCTCTCATTTGTTATTCCCTCTTAGACACTAGGAAATCAAACGACTTTCCCTCCCAATTAGTACTCCTTCATTATGCAAATAACATCCTTTGATCTGCTCCTGCTGTCACAGAGCAAATCTGACCATATTTGTTTTATTCCTCTTGAAGCCCCAGGAAGGCACCCACCCCGGGGAGCTGGCACTGCGCTCGTGGCAGGGGCCGGGGGGCTGCGGCGGGGGGCCGGAGCGAGCACAGCCACCTTGCTTGGGCAGCCCCAGGCACCAATCCCCACGACGCCTGGGAAGGCAGGAGTGGGGGGGGGAGGAAGAGGGTCACCCTTCGCTTTTTAGGCTGGGCCACAGAGCAGCAAAGGCTGTCAGAGCAGCAGAGACGGGGAATGAAGAGCTCCCTACTAACAAGCTCCAGGCTGGAGAGCAGCCCTGCCCTCTGGGCTGTCCACATCCCAGCGGGGAGCACAGCTGAACCAGTAACACTGGTGATCCAGGAAAACATCTGTACCCAAACCGAACCAAAACTGGGCACGTTCACCAGCAGGTCCCCAGGCTTTGACCTTGATCTCTCAGTAGCCCATCCAAGCTCTCCCCAAGCTGCCCTGCCTTCCTACCCCTGCTTGGCCAGTACAGAGGGTCACCTCCATCCACATTCAGGAAGGCAGCAAAGCATTTCACTCTTATGAAAATACCCCTCAGGTCCAGGGGAGATCATCTGTCCAGCTCAGAGACAGCCAACATCACTACCAATACCAACCCCAAAACCAGCCATGAGCGCAGCTGCACCGGCCCTTGATGCCACAAAAGGAGCACTCCCACACAAACAGCGTGGCAGGGTATTTCCCATAAGAATGTCCTGAACATTACCTCACTGGCCCAGGCAGCATCCCATGTCCTGCATCCTCAGCCCCTGCTAGAGCAGCTGGAGCTGAACTTCACACACCAGGTCCCTGAACACCCCCATCTCCCTCTGTGTCCGCACCAGGGCCACAGTGGAGGAGCAGT